ACCAGGGTCCGGGGCGGTGCGTTTCTCCACCTGTGGGAGAGGATGGGTGGACTTCCAACTCCCATCATCCACGGCTTGGAGGCAGGAGATACACCAGGGTCCGGGGCGGTGCGTTTCTCAACCTGTGGGAGAGGATGGGTGGACTTCCAACTCCCATCATCCACGGCTTGGAGGCAGGAGATACACCAGGCTCCGGGGCGGTGCGTTTCTCCACCGGTGGGAGAGGATGGGTGGACTTCCAACTCCCATCATCCACAGCCTGCATGGAGGGGACTTGGGAGGGGTAGCTAATTCACCGGAGTTTCCACAACAGACAAGCAAGTAGCAGGGTTAGGATTAGTGTCTGGCCTCCCCATCGCTTCCTTTTTTTGTGTCTCAGTTATACACCTTGCTCTATGGGGTTTTATTTTGGTAAATTTTTAAAATTTTTATTTAAAGTACATACAATTCGTTTCCCCTTTAGTGTCTGGGTACAAATATCTTGTGCAATTGTTAGGGATACACCCTAGCAGAATCTGCACAGCAGCCAGGCAGGCAGGCAAAATATGTGAGATAAACCTTTTTGTAGCTTACACTCAGTAATACAGATACACTGTGCTAGTTAAATAGTTTATTCCAGTAAGAGTTTTAGCATAGTCAAGACAGTCCATATATCATTCACTAGTTCAGTCCGTCCGGGGATTATTCCGTTGCAAAGTCCAGTGTCGAAAAAGAGGTCAGTAAACTTACAAATATCTGTCCAATAATATATCTCCTCCCAGTAGAGATTTGAAGAAGTCAAACCTCCTTTCTTCCTTCAGCAGCAGGGAACATGCAGTTAGCAAACCATCAATCCAGCAAACCATCAATCAGTCAGCAATCCAGCAGGTTCTCTTGCTCCCTCTTATGGCGGTTTCACAACCGCACCCAAAATTACATGCTTTGCAGTTTAAAGTGACACACACTTAAACTTACTATCATAGTTTATATACACTATTTTACCCAAACTACGTTAGGTAACCTTGTTATTCCTAACAGCAATAACAATTAAAATTTTACATCCACGTTCACTACTTTGGCGTTCACTCTCCGCTCTTATTAACAGACGTAATATCTCTATCACACTCATCTTCTTAACGTGTTTAATTCCATAAAGCTATTTTCTATACCTCGCCGATCTCTTGGCTATTTCTAGCTTTCGTATTTTTTCCCTCCAGCAATCCATAAAATACTTCCCATATCTTACAATATTTCAGTTTGCTCCTCCTGTTTAATAGCAAGTGCTAATCTATTAATTCCTGCCCATTCTTAATATTTTCCTAATCACATTTTCGCTTTTCCAATTCTGAGCAAATTCAATTCTAGCTGCGGTTAATACATGAAAAATCCAATATACTTTCTTCTTTACTGTTAAGTTTCAGGGAAGATCCGCCTAACAGGAATATTTCAGGTTTTAAATCGATACGCTGTTGTATCATCTTTTCCGACCACGTATGTTGTTGTTTTTTTTTGTCCAATATTTTTTAGCCTTCGACACCTGTCCATCACGTATCATAATGCTCTGTGTGGTCCTTGATGCTCTCTGAGTTGGGCTGTTTCCTGGGGACATTTCATGACCCAGATAGGCAACATGATCAGTGTTAGACGGGCGATCAAAAGCCGAATGAAGGAATCCACAAGAGAAAACTCCCACCGACACAGACGGGACGAGCGCTGTTTGTATATAAACAGAGAGCAAATCCCCTTCTGCCTTCTAGCACTGGTGACGTTACCCAGGTGGGTCATGAAACGTCTGCCAAGAAAATAAATAGGCTCACATAAGCTGGCCGGCGAGGGAATTCTGGGAGTTGGAAGTCCACACATCCAAAAGCTCTCAAGGTTGAGAACCACCAATCCTGGGTAAATCTTCTCCTCTCATCCACACAATCTCTTCATACTCAAAGAAGTTGAGACTGTAGAGCAAGGGTAAGACTTGTGGACTTCAACTCCCAGAATGTCCGAGCTAACATGACCGGAGGAGGAATTCTGGGAGTTGAAGTCCACAAGTCTTAAAGCTGTCAAGTTTGAAGACACTTTGATTAGATAGATAGAGACAGAGACAGAGTCAGAGACAGAGAGATAGATATGGAGATCGATACTGTAGATCAGGGGTCTTCAAACTCGACAGCTTTAAGACTTATGTGCTTCAACTCCCAGAATCCCTGAACTAACATGATTGGAGGAGGAATTCTGGGAGTTGAAGTCCACAAGTCTTAAAAGCTGTCAAGTTTGAAGACCCTTGTTCTAGAAAGAGTGCAGAGAAGAGCAACCAGGATGATATTAGGGGACTGGAGGCTAAAACATACGACGAACGGTTGCAGGAACTGGGCCTGGCTAGTCGAGGGAAGAGAAGGACCAGGGGAGACAGGAGAGCATCTTCCAATATTTGAGGGGCTGCCCCAGAGAGGAGGAGGAAGGGGTCAAGCTATTTTCTAAAGCACCTTTGAAGGCCAGACAAGGAATAATGGATGCAAACTGAACAAGGAGAGATTTGACCTGGAAATAAGGAGGAATTTTCTGACAGTGAGAACAATCAACCCATGGAACAGAAGTTGCCCTCAGAAGTTGTGGGAGCTTCATCCCTGGAGGCTTTCAAGAAGAGACTGGACTGCCATGGGTCAGAAATAGGGTAGGATCTCCTGCTTGGGCGGGGGGTTGGAGTAGATGACCTCCAAGGTCCCTTCCAACTCTGTTATTCTGTTATCAAGGACAGATTCAACCTAGAAATAAGGAAGAATTTTCTGTCCCTGAGAACAATCAACTCATGAAACGGAAATTGCATTTGGAAGTTGTGAGAGCTTCATCCCCGGAAGCTTTCAAGAAGAGACTGGACTGCCATCTGTCAGAAATGGTGTAGGGTTTCCCGTTTGGGTGGGAGGGTTGGACTAGATGACCTCCAGTTACTCTTGTCTACTTGGGCTCTGCAGCTGTCACTTGAACCCAGAGCGGCTTCTCACCCTCTTAACTTCCCTCTTTGTTTTTCCAGATGAGCGTTGGTCAGAGAGCCAAGATGATAATCTCGCCAGATTACGCTTACGGGGCGACCGGTCACCCTGGCATCATCCCAGCAAACGCCACCCTAATTTTTGACGTGGAGCTTCTAAAGTTGGAATGAGCGAGAGGCCTCCGTCCTCCCATTTCCCTGCTCTGGGGTAAAGGATCTTCTCGGAAGACTTCTGGGCCGGCCTTTGCCGAATTGGGCATTGTGGAGAGGGGGGGCAGGGGGCTGATTGGGGGGAGGAGGAGGATCCTTTTGGCAGGGGGGCATTGGGGTCCGTCGGCTTGGCAGAGCGAGGTGCACCGACGTAAGAGAAGTTTGAAGCTCAGGGTTGAACGGCGGGGTCCTTGGTGCTCTCTGAGTTCAGTTGTTTTCTTGCAGACGTTTCACAACCCAACTAGGGAACTTCACCCGTGCTAGAAGGGAGGGAGGAGAACGGTGGGGTCTTTAGTGCTCGCTGGGCTT